CTCATATAAAGATACTGTCATTTCTTATATTTATTTCTTTCATCTTTTATCATCATCTTATCATTTAACTTATTCATATTCTTATTAATCATAATCTCTTTAGTAGTTAATTCAATTAATGTTTTGATAATAAGAAATAAAATGGTAAAGAATAAATAGAATTATTATATTAATGATAAAAAAAATGAATATGATAAAATCCATGATATATGTTGAGTATTTTTAATGATTTATTAATTTTTAACTATTCATAAAATTGAACAATCAAAATTTATGAATTAATAAATGAAATGTTCATATTTATGTTATAATTTATGTTTTCATAAGTATAAAATATTAATTTTGTATGATTTTTCAATAATTCATAAAATGAAATAATTTTATTCTTATATAAAAAGATAACTATTATTTATTTCATATTATTATTAAATAATAACTCTATCATCATTTATATTCTCTCTTATTTCTTTATTATTTATATTCTTTTTATTTATATTCTTTATTACATCATTATTATGTTTATTATGTTTATTTATTTCTAATATTCTTTCTTTTGTTCATCTCTCTTTCTATTATTATATCTTATTATTCTATTATCATTATATTTTAATTAATTTATTATTTTCTCTTTCATTCTTCATTGAAAAATAAATAATTTCATCATTCTTTATTATGATATTGAAAATACTTAACATCATATACATATTAATTCAAAATGGAAATGTAATAATATAGAAATGATATAAATCATGAAGATATTATATTGATATTTAGTAATGTAATTCAACAAATTATTGATTTTATTCAATTATCTATAAAACAAACAGTTCAAAAATTGAGTTATGTACTGTTATTCTTTGTATCAAAAACAATTTCAATTAATTATAATAATCTTATTAATGTTATAAAGAATGAAATAAATATAATAAAACAACAATACAAAATGTAATTAATTGAAAATCACAATGAATTGGTGGAATTGTAAATAATGTTTAAAGTGATATTTGATTAACAACTGTTTGAATTTCTCTAACTGAAAATATTTATGAAC